ATGTGCAGAGGAGATAAACTGGTCCTGTTCACTACTTAATTACTTGCTTTTATCACCTAAGAGTGTTTTAACTGCATGATCCAGGGAGGGGATATAAAATGGCTAATTAGTTCAGTGAGGCAGTCTGTCCTGCTGGCTTAGTAATGAGGAGTTTACTTTCTTGTTTTGATTTGCTTTAATTGATGGAATTCCATTGAAATATTAGGTGTTACTTGGTGTGTAGTTCCTTTGGGGTGGTGGAAAGAAGGGAGGGAGGGAGGAGCAGGTGTAGGAGTGTCCTTAGGGAAAGGTTTATGAGGTTTTTGTGTTTACTGTCAGACATGAATCCAGGTGGTAACAACTCCCGACACAGAGAAATCGCCACTCCTTCCTCTTTTACTGACTACTGGATTTTTAGCAAAAGTCTTTTGAGGTATCTCTTTATCAGCATATTCAACCCATGTTACTGATTCCTAGTCAATGTCCTGTTGGTATTTATAGGCACTGCACATCAGTGCTTAAGAATGAAATTTCCAATTTACATATTAATTTTTATTCCTTAGTAGTTGGGGGGAAGACACTTTGTTTATGGCACTAGGAATTTACATAATCTATACATAATTAAATAGTGAGAGTCAGTTTTTCTTTTACTGATGAACTTTCTCTGTAGCAACTCAGTGTAGTTTGTGCCCAATTCGTATAGCTTCCGCAATGTGAAATAAGGAATATTTTCTTGTTTTCTGTGTTAAATACAGATTTTAGGGAATTACTGCACTAAATACCAAATGCTGTATGAGAAAAACAATGCCTCAAGCAGAGAGACACCTAATTCTATACAATTATATCTACTTCTTCAGGATGTTGGCTTTAGGGGACATTGAGAAGAAAGAGAAAATAAATAGAACATACTTGGGTTTTTTAGGGAAAAGAAGACAAATAGAACATGGTTGATTGTGTCATGATTTACTACAAACAATTATCATTTATCTGACTCATCATAGTTGTTGTAGGTGATCAGCTCTATATATTTACAGTTTCTTGTTTTCCCCTAATCATGTCATCTGTCACACATACTTTAAAGCAATGGAAGTAGTACCTTTGTGATGCCCTTTTTTTTCAGATTCTGGCTATATATTCTGTAATAGATCACAGTGACCAAAATGCATTTTTGGTAATTTTCTCTTGTATCTAGGCTTAGAAATATAAACATCCTTTTAAAGGAGGCTGTCAGACATGAGGAAAAACAGTGAAGAAATAGTTTGAAAAATATTGAAATATCATAACCAAACCCTCAGAATAAAAAAAAAATGCATTTTTAAAAAGCTTGATGTAGTTATAGCCTTCAGTGTAACAATCTTTTTAAAAATGTTTTTATGCATGCAAATACATATAAGGAATTCTGGAAAATTCAGCAACAAATCATTGAGGATATGAGACGGAGGTAAAATGACAGCAGAAATGCTAACAAGGTAGTCTGGCTTTCATACCTCAGGCTTATAAATGTCCTGAAATATAAATGTTAGTCAAGTAGACATTGTGAAGAAACTACAAGTAAGAGAACGGGTGAGAAAACCTGAACCATCTACGCTGGATATAACTGCAGAATCTGAAGTGGCTGGTGGTGGAGCCTGAGAATGAAATTATACTTGTTCTGTTTCACCCTGTAGAATCGCAAGTTATTGAAAGTGCAAACTAACAGAACTTTTGGCGATTTAGCACGGTGTTAAATATCACTGGATCTCCTAAACATTGTTGGTTTCAGGGTACTCCAAGAACCAATTCCTCACTAGAACTGTGAAACGAAATCTAAGTGCCGCAGAGAAGGATTATAGAAGTCCTTTAAAAAGACTGACTAAAGTGAAGGAAAAAAGGAAAGAAAAGTTCACATCTAAAGTCTTTTCTAAATAACTGAAAGACATTACACGTGAGAAAGAAAAAAAGAAAATTTACTTAAGTCAGAAGTAAACATCTTAAGTACTCAAAAAGCTTTATTAACACAAATGATGTGCTAATAAATAGTATTGTAGCTTCAAAAATGTGGGAGCTTTAGCTAAAAGCAGAAAAAGGTGTTAATCCTGTGAGACTCATAACCAGCACTTCTACATTTACTTTGCTATTTGTAGCTTTTATTAGTAAGTTAAGTTTTATCATAATGCATCCTTTTCTATCTTAGCTGTTAATAGCTTGATGCTCATTATTTCATAAAATTTTATTGATACTCTCTGGAAGATGGCAATGAAAATGCTTCTCTATTCCATACAAACAGACAAAAAGAAAGAAGCAATTTGCCTGGAAAGATTGATGCTGGATTTGACAGTTGCGTCCACCCGCACAAGTTGTGGGTCATTAGCTAACCACTGGCCCATGAGTCCTCCCTTGGCACTTGTGTGCAGCATGGCAGCTTGAATACTATCATTCTGCAACCCACTGCCAGCTAACAGACAGCTTGAAAACCATTGTTTCTTGAAGCAAAGCCTTTGTCTGTCGTCTTTCAGAAGATCTAGTGTTAATTTATATGTATCCTTAACGTAGTATCACAGTCTTTCTCAAATCACTTTCTCAAATACCCGTTTGATTTTCATGGAAGTCTTTTTGTAAATTCTCAGTAATGATGAAAAACAATTCCTCTAGATGTCTCTGAAAGCAAAAAAAAAAAAACAACGTCATACACAAAGCAGACAAAAATTGTGTGAGCAAAGTGTAATCATGGCTAAATGCTCAGCTAGGAAGTTGTCCCTTATTTTAATTAACTCTGTGAATTTTCGTTAAGATAGGACCTTGTTACTTTATTCACTCTTTATTGCATCTGTCACAAAATCTAGACTATATTGAATAAAACAATAAAAAGCCTAATGACTAAAGTATGATTGGAACCTAGGCTATACATTCTTGATGTTTCATGGTGATACTTTTTATAGACGAGTATAAGCAATAGCAATTTTATTTTGTTTTGCAGCTCTCTTTTTTTGAACCAAACACTACCACATGGTAACATCAAACTACGTAACATAGTGCAGATTGAGCTCTTTTATACATTTGTGCTGGAGACTGTGACATCAGACTTGTTTTTAGGTGGTCCATCTTTTCTAACTGCAAGAATAACTGCATTTATATCACTGTAGCATCAAGTTTAAGAGCCCTAACTGTTCTTAGTGGCAGAAAAGCTGTGTGAGTCAAACATATTAAAATTCTTAAATCAAGTTACAGTGTTTATCCTCAAACACAGGCTCTGTCTACATATCAAAAAATTTAGGGCAGTATGAATATGGATCAGTTGATCAAAGTAGTTGCAGATATCTGAGCTTTAATATCCTTATGTATGGCTCAAGACTTTTACTTTAGACTAAATACAGTTCAGTCCTTTGTCATTAGCGTCTCCACCATGCACAGCATTTGAAGCTGTTTGTCGTTGGTTCAGACCTTCCTTTCTGCTTTAGTTGTAGAAGAATTTTGGTGCACACCCCAGGCAGAGTTCTAGGTTAGTTTCTTCCAAGAGTAATCTAGTTTGCACACAGCAAAATCATTCTTCAGAACCAATGAATGTGCATTAAGTGCTCAGGGGATTCACTTCAGAACTTAGCTACAGCTCCAATCCAAAACATTAATGCTGATATAGTTATTCTGGAATATTCACATAAGACAAGCCATTTGTGAGCATATTAGCTGTTAAAGCTGAAAAGAACATTGTAAATTTAATTTAAAAATACTTGCGTATGATGTTCCTAGTGTTGTAGATTAAATTCTGTTGCTTAACATTTTTCTCCCTTCAAAAATTTTCCATATTTTATTACATAAAGGTAGGAATAACAATATATATTTTATTATGTAGTGTTTTAATGCATTGTGAAAAGTACATTAATAATACATTCTTAGCATGTATTATTATTCCAAATGTGTGCAGTAGAGAAGCCACAGTAGATCGTTTATCAGGTATTACTACAGGCTTTCTCCCATAAATATAAAAAAAAATATGTTTGAAATGGAGGGAGGGAAAGGAAAGCTGTTGATTTTCTGAGCATCTCATCCATCAGTGAGCCAAAATTCCTTTTCCTGAAATACTAAGTGGCTTTGTATTTTTGAATGAAACTCTTATGCTAAGGTAAGGTGGGCATAGAGAAGATAGAGCTCGTTCTTTGGGTTCCCACTGTCTTTTGTAATTATGTAAACGTGTCTCCGGGTGCTTCTTCAAATTCTGTTTCATTTTGCATAAAATCTGATTTGTAGATCTGTGGGCTTATCTCAGTGGCCTCAGAGGACAGTTTTTGTGGGTTGATCTTGGCTGGCGGCCAGATGCCCCCCCAGCCGCTCTCTCACTGCCCCTCCTCGGCAGGATGGGAGAAAATGAGGCAGAAAGGGGTCTTGTGGGTCAAGATAAAAGACAGGGAGATCACTCACCAATTACGGTCACAGCAAAGCAGAGTAAACTTGGGGAACATTCATTTAATTTATTGCTGATTAAAATAGAGAGTGAAAAATAAAGATGAAAGCTGAAACACCCTTCGCCCCCCCCACCCCCCACCCTGGCCTTCCTTCATCCCAGACTCACCTTCCCTCCTTCATTCCCAACTCCTCCACCTCTTCCCCCGTGCGTGGCACAGGGGATGGGGAATGAGGGTTGACAGCAGTCCAGAGCAGCTCCTCTCTGCTGCTCCTTCTTCCTTACGGTGTTCTACTGCTCCAGCTTGGCTCCTTCCCAGGATAGACAGTCTTTCACAGGCTGCTCCAGCCTGGGTCCTTCAAAAGGCTGCAGAGGAATCCCTGCTCCGGCACCTGGAGCACCTCCTGCACCTCCTCCCCCAACTCCTTCACCGGCCTTGGTGTCACAGGATTATTTCTCACACTTTTTCTTTTCCTCCCTCACTGCTCTTGTCCCGAACTGCTGTGCGGTGTTTTTTACCCTTTCTTAAATCTGTTTTCTGAGAGGTGTCTCCATCTTGGCTGAGGGGCTCAGCCATTTTAAATGGCTTCAAGTACTTTCAAGCGCATAAAAATATGAGGTTTTGTTTCTTGTTCTAATTTAGAGACCTGGCTGCAAGGAACTGCTTGGTAGGTGAAAGCAACATTTTGAAAATAAGTGATTTTGGAATGTCCCGGCAAGAGGACGATGGCGTGTACTCATCATCAGGCCTGAAGCAGATTCCTATCAAGTGGACCGCTCCAGAAGCACTCAACTATGGTAAGGATATACCTGTACCTTCTTGCAAATAAATAAAAAAAGTCAAAAGTGAAATAAGGAGCATTAGGACTACCCTGTGGGCAATATTTGACTATATATACATATTCCTAGTGCCCAGTTCAAATCAATAATGTTTAACACAATTTTAATATTTCAGTCTTACTTATGTATAAAATAGTTTTGCCCTCAAAAAGAATAAGGCAGCAACATCAAAATTGCTATTATGCAACAGTAAAACAGTGCTTTGGTTATGTTGCTGACTCATTCTAGTAGACTACCTAGTGAGTCATCGAAATCATAATCATTAGCCAAATGAAAAGCAAGTTCTGCATATTTATGGCAGTACTTGTTCTGACATTTCTTTGAAAACAGTAGGAAGTGTTAACATACTAGAACACCCTGTTAGATAAATCATTGCATTGGAGAAAAGTCACTGATTTATATTTTTTTTTAACTGCTACTTTAGCAGCATTTTTATATATTGCTAGGCTGTTATCTTGGGGAAAAAAAATCTATTATTGTGGTCCATAATATGTACCTAATAGTTCCAAAAGAGAAAAAGAATCTGCTGTATTTAGCTTTTTAGCTTATATGAAACTAGAAAAATAAGTTTTTCAAAGTAAAGTGGGCTGTGAAGGAGCAGCGTAATAAAAGAATGGTGCCATGTTTTGGATCTAGCTCTCTCAATCAGTTCTTCAGCTGAGTACTTAGAAAAATATTGTTTTAAATTCTTCATTTGAAGTGTCTATAAATATTTTTGCCATGATTTCCATGTGTTGGAAATCATAAGTTTGTGACTTACAATTGATAGCAAAATGCTTCCTCTCATTAGAGCTTTTGCAGGAGTTAATGTCATAACACAATAAAGCAGATTTTCCCTTTGGAAAGCTAATAATAAATCTAGTTACAATAATTGATCCTGTGTTATCAATTGTTCTAAGAGATGTTAGTGTTGCTAGTGTTCACTGGGGAACACGCTTTTTTATTTGGGTTGTTTCTTCCACTATAAAATGTCTTTTGAATTTTTTTTTTGTTATTTCAGAAATGGGTACAGTTTATCTGATATATAATGGAAACGTATCTTTCATAGTCTTATGCAGTCCAGCGGGCTACATTAAGCAGGAAACAGACTCTTATGACAATACCTTTTCTTTGTACTTTTTGAGTCTTTTTTCTGCATAGTACAGAAGAGGAGAGAATAGTTGATTAACATTACTTATTTTCAGTTTCCTAAAATGCATACATGCTCACGCAGTTTTAAGCGATTTTCTGTAGTGTTTGGAAAATAAACTCTCTCAAATATTTGTTATTGTGTTCAGCAGTCCAATATTCAACTTTAAAAATGTCATAGGAGGTTTCTGTGTGTTTTTGTAGGATCATTTTTTCCACTTCCTTGAAAGATGTGAGTAAAAATAATTGGGTTTTGTTTTGCCATTTAGATCCTAATAATGTGGTCATACGTGTGCATTAATTTGCATGTGTAAGGCTGAAGGTATTTAAGGATATCAGAGGGAAATAGAAATAAATCTGCAATATTTCAAAAGTATTTGTCAACCACTGTCCATGTCAGTTCTTAATTGCAAGTTTAAGGGTTGGAAGAAAATGAGGGATAGGATCATTTGGCCATTACATGAATAATACAGTGATTAAGAAACTACATAAAAGATCATTTTTTAGTCACTTCTGGATTCACTGTATATTACAAAATAATTGCAGTCACAGCAAGATTTTAAATGAAAAAAACACAAGCTGTGAAGTCTAGAAACCACATGAGGGCAAATGGACTGCTTAAGGAGTTGTGTCTAAAGTCATAAGCAAAATCTTGATGCTGCTGGAGTTTGTGGGAGATTGAACCTTATTTTTGCTTGAAGCGATGATTTCCATCACTTCCAGCAGGTGGAAAAAAATGTTTGAAAAGCTCCTAAAATTACATATTTAGGCCAAGTGCAGGGTATTTTTGCTTTCTGTTCTCTCAAAATTAAAATACATATTCGATATGTATGTTTTTCCAGTACAACATTTTGAGTTGTTTGTCATGTTAATAAATTACTGTGTGGGGATGTTTTTTTTTTTTTGTGAATGAAAAGTCCCTTTATTGTCCAGATAATGTCATAGTGGAAAAGATAATTAACTGTGCAGAACTTGTACTTTCTTTAAAAAAAAAAAAACAAAAAACAAAAAACTAATCACCTGTCTTGTAGCTACTGAATGATTTGAATGAAAAGCGTTAAATTACTGGATGCCAAACTCTGAAGAGAGCTGATACATAGGCAAGAAAACTCATTTTACTACAAAGAGCATAGTGAATGTCCATAATTGCCATCTACAAGGAACACGGCATGACTGGAAGTGATACTTAGTTTCAGTAAACTGAACTTTCTGACATAAAAACGTTGTCATGTCACCAACTGTGACTACAATTTACACATATTTTCCTTTTTTCTAGTCAGAAGTGGCTTAGTTTGGTTTTTTAATGGCTAGAGATGAACTAACAATACATTCACAAGCATATATATATTTTAAAGAATAAAGACATATATATGTAATGTAATAGTATGGAACAAAGTAAAACAGTCATGAAAAATTATGAAAGTGCTGTTGAAAATGGATTTTTAAGGTAACTTTTTCACAGATCCTGCTGCAAAGGGCTAGGAGCCTTAACTTTCTGATGTGAATCCATTCTTCTTAATATGGGTATTAGGGAAAATAGAACAACCTGCTCCAAGTGTTATCCTTCTCCCATACTATAAAGCTTTTGTTGCACAAAGAGGTTTGGAATCCAATTATCTATTTTGCTATCTCTGAAGCATAGTTGAAAATAATGGAACTATCAGGCCAGATATTTTTTTCTTTTTCTTTAACTGGTTGGGTGCATCAGTTCTTCAGGGTCCAAATTAAACATGTTGAAGAAACTATACTTTAATTTTCAGAGAACAGTTTCTCAAAGCATGAAAACCAGGCCCTCTTCACAGTTACAAACTATGCCAATGGTAGCTGCTCTCAGAATGCTCATTGCCGTACTATATTAGGGAACTAGGAAAGGTAATTTCTTTTGAAAGTGTCTTTTGAATTGAAAGTGCTTCTAAACAAGGAGGAAAAACATAGCATTTTTCTGTCCTTTTATATTAAAAGAGAAAAGAAAAGCACATTTAGAAGGAAATAAATTCTTAACTTGCATGAAAAGTAACCGACATGGTAAGGTCTGTCAAATTGTAGAACTTTAAGTTAGCTTATATTATTCCTACGTATTGACCTTAAGATAATTTGTTTATCTTTTGAAATATGGGAGACTAAGATATCTACAGGAGGTATTATTAGTAGCTACAGCTTTGTTCTGCTTAGAGCTTGCCAATGTAACACTTAACCATTACAGAAAATTTGGGACCATAATTATTTGCAACATTAATTTCTCTGTCCATTAAGCTGCGGGTTTTCTCTCCTTTTCTTAGGGAGATACACGTCTGAGAGTGATGTATGGAGCTTTGGAATCCTCTTGTGGGAGACTTTCAGCCTAGGAGTATGTCCGTACCCTGGCATGACAAACCAACAAGCACGAGAACAAGTCGAGAAAGGTAAGTTATTTGTAGGAAGACATAGAATTGCTATATGGATCTATAAGGATGCAGTACATACAGTGTAAAATGGCAAAGAAATACCACACAGGTTATTCAGCAACTTTAGCAAAAATATCATGAGGTTTTTAAATTGCTGAATCCAGCATTCTGGGAGGACTAGAATAGTGTATAGGCTTCTTGAAAAAAGGAGTTTACTGACTAGTGACCTAAAGGACGGAAGACTTAGAGCATTCTGACTTTCATTGTTGCAGAACTAAAAGGTGAGATGGAGAGGAGGGATTTACTGCTGTGCAAAGCAGAGGTTTGACCAGAATGAATTATTTAAGATTATGCTAATGCAGGTATAAATATTCTAAACTGCCAGTAGAAAAATTCTGTATCATTCCATCTTCTCTATTAAAGCATTTCGGACAAAAATTTAGCAATTATGGTGGAGAATGGTAAGCTAGTTGAGCGTTGGAAGCCACATCTCTCTTTTATAAAATTATCAAAAGGCTTTTATTTAAAGTAGCTAGTAACTGAGCAGGATTTCAGGACTTTTATTTCTTTTTATTATCTTTAATGGCATTTCAGAGCTGTTCCTTCTCTACACAGTACTACTGTGTAATTCATAAATAGGTTCTAAGCTAGGAAAACTGCTAAACGATTTTTTTTTAAAAACACAAAACTGGTTTGCTGATTTATACAGATTGCCAGTATTTGTTATAAGCAGTGTAGGTGACCATCAAAGTTTCTCCTTAAAAGGCCAAATAAAAAAATCCACTGTTTTCCAGAGCAGAAGGGTGTTTGTAAAAGCAAATCTTTTTACCTTAGTACTGAGATTCTGTTTTAATCCACTGAGAATAATCATATCTTGAAATTTATAAAATTCAAAGATTTAGAAGTATGTTTATGCTTTTTCAGCTATTCATATTGTGGGGGAAATAGTCCTGTTGGCCCATCAGCAATTATTTTTATATTTTTAATGGAATTTTCATTTCTTTTATTGGCCCTTTTCTTAAATTTTGGTATATGATAACTCTTCTATTAGGATACTAAGCCAAGACACTCCAGATTCTCCTCCTGATCTTGCCTGTCTCATTTACTCGGTCAGTAGGAGCATTCAGTTAATTTTGGCACTTGAATGCTTGCTTTAATCCAGAATAATTTCAATTCTAAGTAACTATATAGAATCCCTTCACTTTAAGGACAACAAGTAGTTACTGGTGTCACTGTTTTGAAGAACTGGTTTCTAGGGGAAACTGAAGGAAACAAATTTTAGTTTACTATTATCTTATCTGTACATGTCCTAGAGCCCAGCCATTCTCCTTTGAAGTTCCATGCATTAATCCAGCACCTAGAGCAGATGTATGCAATACAAAAAAGGGAAAATATTTCTCAGATTTACCTGTTGTAGAGGCCCATGTCATTTGTCCTCTGCTTTAGAAACAGAGATGCAAAGACGTGTGCAGTAAGTCTGGAGTCACAGAGCTGCACGTAGCTGAAGAGTCCTTTGTGCCAGCTGGCTTTGGTGTGCACTGCCTCTCATTTGCTCAGAGAGCTATGTGTGATAAACAGGTTATAGAATCACAAAGTCACAGAATGGCTGAGGTCTGTGAGGACCTCTGGATGTCATCTGGTCCAAGCCCCCCGCTCACGAAAGGCCATGTAGAACTAGTTCCCCAGGACCATTCCCAGGTGGCTTTTGCATATTTCCCAGGATATTTCCACCACCTCTCTGGGCAACTTGTTCCAGTGCTGGGTCACAGTCACCCTGAAAAAGTGTTTCCTGATGTTCAAGAGGAACCTCCTGTGTTGCAGTGTATGCCCATTGCCTCTGGTACTGTCACTGAGCATCTCTGAAAAGAGCCTGGCTCTGTCCTCTTTGCATCCTCCTTCCAGGTATACAGGTGTATCAATAGAGGTATATACTGATGAGATTACCCTGAGCCTTCTCTTCTCTGGGCTGAACAGTCCCCTCTCTCTCAGCTTTTCTTCATAGGAAAGATGCTCCAGTTCCTTGACTTCATGGCCCTTCACAGGACTCTCCCCAGTATGTCCATGTCTCTCTTGTACTGGGGAGCCCAGAACTGGACACACTACTCCAGGTGTGGCCTCACCAGTGCTGAGTAGAGGGGAAGGCACAACTCCTTTGATCTGCTGGCAACACTTCTTCTAGTGTAGCCCAGAATACCATTATCCTTCTTTGCCGCAAGGGCACATTGCTGGTGCATATTCAACTTGGGTCCACCAGGATCCCCAGACCCCTTTCTGCCAAGCTGCTTTCCAGTTGGGTAACATGTACTGATGCCTGGGGTTATTCCTCCCCAGGTGCAGGACTTTGCACTTCTCTCTGTCATCCAGATCATTTATGAAGGTGTTCAACAGGGCTGAGCCAAGTATTGACCCCTGGGGTACACGAGTAGTTACTGGCCTCCAACTAGACTTTGTGCCACTGATCAACTTCCTCTGGGACTCACTGTTCAGGCAGCTTTCAATCCACCTCATCTGCTCATGCAACTTATAATTCAGTGTTTTCTTCATGAGACTCTTATGAGAGACAGTGTTGAAAGCCTTACTGAAGTCCTCTCATCTGTGAAGCCAGTCATTTCATCACAGAAGTTTCTCAAGTTGATCAAGCATTACTTCTGCTTAGTGAATCCATGCTGACTAGTCCTGATGACTTTCTTGTCCTTCAGGTGCCTGGAAATCTTTTCCAGCATTAGCTACTCCATCACCTTCCCAGGGATCAAGGTGAGGCTGACCAGCCTGTAGTTCCCTGGGTCCTCCTTATTGAAGATGAAAGTGACATTTGCTTTACTCCAGTCTTTAGGCACTTCTCCCATTCACTATGATGGATGACAGGTTCTTGAGAGTGGCCTTGCAGTGGTGACATAAGCCAACTCCCTCAGCACTCATGGGTGCATTCTATGGCCCATGGACTTAAGCGCAGTTTGCTTAAGTATTCCCTGACCTGATCCTCTTCCACCAAGTCTTTATTGGTCCAGATTTTCTGCCTGGTCTCTAGGGTCTGGGCTTCTTGAAGGCCAGTCTTGCTAGTTAAAACTGAGACAAAGAAAGCCTTCATTACCTCAGCTGTGTCCTGTGTCACCAGGTGCCCTACTTCATTCAACAGTGGGCCCACATTTTTCCTAGCATTCCTTTTATAACCTACAAACTTAAAGAAGCCCTTCTTCTTGTCTTTGACAACCCTGGTCAGATTCAGTCTCATTTGGACTTTAGCTTTCCAAACATCATCCTTGAATGCTCAGACAATCTTTCTGTATTCCTCCCACATTACCTGTTTTTGTGTTTGAATTCATCCAGGAGCTCCTTGTTCTTCCATGCAGTCCTCCTGCCCAACTTCCTCCTCATTAGGAAGTTGCTTTCATTGCTGCGAGCAGATCTCTTTGGTCCAGGGTATGGATGATATGCTAGAACAGCCACTTATCTGTGGCGTCTAATTTACGTAACTGATGATTTGTTCTCCTGCTCAACACCAAGTCAGAGACCTCCTACACTTGATGGCAGCAGAGAGTTTTGGAAGGCCACTGCCTACCTAAGCAAACGTGAAGAATGAGGGAGTTAAGATGATGGGGATGGGAGAATATAAAAGTAAGTTCAGAAAACAGGAGGGAGAAAAAATAAATAGATAAACTCAAACAGAAGGGGACTTCTTAAGGAGACAAAAAAGGGAAGAGTCATGAGAATAAAAGGTGATCAATTTTGAAGAAGAGCAAAACGTTTTCTCCCATCTTAATCTTTATTCTTGATTTCCTCGGTCAGGGGAAAAAAAGGTAACACGATTAAAACCTAGAGGGTAGCTACTTCAGAAGATACAGGAAACAAATCTATGCAAGTTGAGGGGTGAGAATGATACTGACAATTTACGATGCCCAACTTAAATGTCATTGGTACCTGATCTTTGACTACTTTAATAATTAAGTATCTTGTGTAGGTTATATATTGAAGACTTTCTTCGTATTACCCTGAAGGTCTTTTTTAGTGCAAAGATCTTGAACTTCACTCGTTTCTTTCTTGTATTTGTCCATATGTATCAGTTTTCAATGCTAAACATTTTCCCCTTTTTTTTTTTTGGTGTGTACCAGGCTACCGGATGTCAGCACCACAAAAATGTCCAGAAGAAATATATAAAATAATGCAGAGGTGCTGGGACTACAAACCAGAAAATCGGCCAAAATTCAGTGAGATTCAGAAAGAGCTGTCTTTGATCAAAAAGAAAGTAACATAGTGATAGCGAAGTGCCAAACTCAATGTGTGGACATTTTCCAGTGAAGTAATTTTTTCCTCTCAAACACTATGCTTTTATACAACATTATTTGCAATATTCTTACTTTGATTACTTTGAAATTAACTGGTTTTTTTATATACATGTGTACCATCTTGAATGATGTCTACACCTGCATTAAAGACATACACTACGAAGTGCTATATATCCAGTCACAGTAATACTGTCATTTAGGTTACATGTAGATAGAAAAACACATACTATAGATTTAAGGGACTGTGGCTTCTATCTGTTTTATGGCAAGTAACTGCTAGTGACATTTTTCAGAGGTTTTCTACTTTAAGCTACATTCTCACTCTGCTATCCCTGTCTCATATGTCAACACCAGCAGCACTGTAATGTGGTGACTGTCATACATGTTGGCCTTAAAACTGAAGACAGTTTTGACAAGTATTTCAACCAGAAACTTTTATATTTTTTAAATTCTTTCTGCAACTGATATTTTAAGTGATACTTTGTTTTAAGGATGAAGGTTCAGTTAGATTCTGGATGCGAAAGTGCTTACTGAACAGTGAAATCCAGAATTTTCCTTTGTAGAAAATTGAGTTGATTGTGCATTTCTTACCATACTGTAGTAAATACTTCTGACTTTTGATGTGATTTACTTAAGCAACGTCTTTTCATTCTGGAAAGCCATCAGAAGTCTGTTACACTGATTTATGTTTTTTTAAGAAACAAAAAAAACCAGTATCAAGTCTTGACTATACATGTTAAGAAATACTGCAAATCATCTGCCTTCCAAAGAATATGAAAAAGCAGTAGGCCAACAGAAAGAGGCTTCCTAATGATAGCAGCAGATAACAAATTTATTTGATCTTAGAGGAGTTAAAGAATGTGAATTGCTAGATTTGCTTTTGATCCTGATTTTTTTCCTTAAATTGGTAATAATTCTCAGAATGTGGCTGGAGCCTACAAAAGTTTATGCTAAGCAAAAGTACATTCCATGCATAGTGTCCAAAGGAAAATACTACTTCAGTATGGCATAAGGAAATTGTTCAAGAAGCCAAAATAAAGAAGTTTAAAGCCTCTGACAGGCTGAGCAAGGTAAAGTAGAAATACTAACCTTCTAACTTTTTTTAATCATTGCAATGATTCAAATGACTGGGGATAGGCAATTTTAAATGCCACCGTGAATAAAAAACCTTGTATATATTTTAAAAAATAATCTGCCAGAAAGAATAGAAACTTACTAGATAGGGGAGAGAGAAAAGGCACAGTTTGTTACGCTAGCTCTGGGTCCTCTTTGCAGCTGGAATTATTTTCTAGGGCCCTACATAGAAATAGGAACAAGTTACAGTATCCTGGTCTGAGTTCCAGAGTTAAGGTGCTTAAATATTTTCTAGGAAGTAAATAAAATTTTTCAGATCAAGGGATGTCAGTTGCTGCTAATGCAAGTAAGAAACAGGGACTGTAAGTAACACAGCATCTGGAATGTTAATTAGTCCTATGGTTATTGTTACAGTGGGATTGAGATGTAGTGAAGTCAGTGGCTACATTACATTTTCATTTCTGTTCAGATGACTTTTCTATTGTCCACAACATTTTTGCTCTCGAAAGTGTATTTATAGTAGTTCTGGATAGTAATGTTTAAGGGCTATGTGTGACCAAAATATGTGTAGTCTAGAAGAATTTGTCTGTTACATTGGAGTTAGTGTCCAAATAAAACAATAAATGATCATGCTGGAGCACATCACCTGCATTTGAGGTGGAACTGCCAGCATCCAAGTACATGGAATGGTGAGCGCTTCTTGCATTTCTTAAGTGATTTTTTTCTTGGAGATAAGGAGGCATATACATACCCATAAAGGTATAGTGCTTAGAAAACTTGGTGGCATAAATTTAAACTTCATTATAAGCATACTGGATATATTTACTTAGTTCTGTACTTCCAAGTAGCCCAAAGATATTTTTCAAGAGCAATGGGAAGCATTTGTGTTAGTTTGTATGCTTTTAAGTAGTACACAAAGTTTGTGCCTTAATTTGCTAGTATGTTGATGCAAATGCAAGTGTACTAAGGTTTAAGGAATGTTCCACAGTCATTTGGAAAAATCCAAGATTCAGCCAACGGCAGGTCCTTATGTAGGCATCAGTAAAGTCTGCAAGTAAGGATAATGGTGTCTCCTCTGTCAGCATCCATAGCTTCTGTGGAGGATTACTATTCTTCTTCTATGAAAGAGATGAACTGTTGCTTTGCTATATGCCCTCTTGACACCGAAAAGATACTTTTTTATTTTTATAAAATAAAATACTATTTCATTTGTCTTAAGTTAACCAGTCACTATCCAGACTATCACATAAAGAAAAAATTGTACTCATATTTCACTCTGAAATAGTTAGCACTTGTAATTCATATCACACTCCTGTTTAAATTTAAAGACTTTTTAAAACACGGGATTTCTACAGCAGCAAGAAAATTTATTATTATTCCTGAAGTAAGCACCAGTTCAGTTCAAAAATAATAACCCTTTGGGAGAATTCCAGAATGAGTTTATAGGTATAAAATAAATCTAAACACAGGTACATGTCTCTTCAGTTATTTAACCTGTTTTCTTATCATTAATTTGGAAGTTGTATTATTGCAATTAGACAATTTAGGAAGTGGAATCCATGCCTATAGATACTGTTTTTAAGTTTTTGAAAACTTCTTACAGGGGAATTCATAAAAAAACCTGCTATACAATGAAATTTAAAAGAAAGACGTGGTATTCAAGAACCAAAGCTGCCATATATGCTTTCTGTGGACTTTTGATGACTTAGCCTTGCATTATTCATAGGTTAGCCAGACACTGGTCATTTGGCCCATTTACTGTGGTTATCCTAGAGAACTTACAAAAAAAGTTAAGACTCAAGATTCTTTTGCAAGTGTAGTGGTTCAGCAAGATACTTATACCAGCACTGTCCCAACCTGGGGGAGCCTGAGCGAATTCTAAATTTTTTACAGTGTTAAATGGGAGAAACTCTGAATACTGTTAAGGGTTAGGTAGAAATACCTCAGCCTGTTACATGAGATGGAATTCAACAGCTTATCTGTCATTTTCATCTTTTTCCAAGGAATTGCACTCATCATTTTAGGAAAGATAGCTTTGAGGACAAAAAAATGCATCCTTAGTTTGTTTTCAGTCAAAATTAAGCACACATTAGCTTCAGAGTTCAGTCATCAGTGAAATCATGAGGATTCCTAAGCATTTAAATTTTATGGAATTAAAATAGTGAAAAGTGTCTTGTCTGAAAACAAACATAACTTCAAAGAAGTGTGATCTTGTCAACATCCCACCAAGACATTCTTTGAAATGCATATTTTCATTAGTTTCTATTGAAACTAGTGAAGTAGTTTTTCATTTAGCAACTACAGGTGTATTGCATTTCTTCTTCACAAAAATCTGCCTTTTTGTAGAGTTGCCTAATATTTTTATTGGAAGTTGTTAATGAAACCTGTGTCACCAGAAGTCTATAAGTAAGAGCTGTAGTTATTAAAGTAAGCCTGATCCTATTGATGAGAAATAGAAAACTGGTTAGGGAAATACTAGGATATTCATCTTAAGTATTTTTTCATCCATGCATTTGACCACCTGTTATGCTTAACTGAAATCCTACAAGCACATCACTAAAACTGACTATGAAGTGATCCCTTTGTTATCTAACTATTTTGTCATCCCTTTTTTGCTCTTTGTAAAGGTACCAAAGGAGAAACCACTTTCCTGAGGCTACAGAGTAACCAACTCTTTTAAAAACCAGCATTAAAAATTTCTCCCCCTCCCCAGATTTTCCCAGATGTGCTGCTGCAGACCATTAACAATAGTAATTAACTAGTAGCCCTATTCTAATTATTCTTGCTGTCATGTCCTCTAAGTGGCAGTGCTTCTGACACACTTGAAACAGTGAAACATTTGAAGAGATGAGTTAGTGTGTAAATAGTGTCACCAAACATGATATTCAAGAGCAGTAGTTCTGAAAATGGCTGGTTGTCGCAAGTAATGATAACTCATTATAAAGGTGGGACAAAAAGAAAGAGGCTAATTGAGATAATCCACTCTCTATAACATCTGTCCTGTTCGTAGGCAATAGAAATGTTTGTTCTGCTAGCGCACTTGGATTTGTAACATTTTTATGACTGAGCATAAAAAAGTTTGCTATTAAAAGAGGAGTTCATCAATTAATATTTTTTTTCCTCAAGCACAAAAGGAGATGTGGTATTGTTGCAAGCATTATTGCTAGCAAAGTCAGGACACATGGAGGGAAGAATACCCCTACTACTAACCAAGGTACCTACTTTTTCCTTCTTAGAATCATATTCATGCAGTCTTTCAGGAATACAGGACTTCAATTAGTAATTAGAAAGTACCGGGGAAGTCCAGTATTCCTGAAGTTCCAAACTACCATGAGTTTTTAAGAGTGACCTGGTAAATTTGCAACATCGGCTTTATTAAAAATGTTTTATTCTAGTTTCCTTCTGCACTTTTCTGTAAAGAAGAGTCTTTAAACAACCATCAGTAACAAGAAAAATCCATCAACCTCGGAAATCTATCAAGCCCCTTTAAGAGTAACTTCAGTAAAGAGTATTTTTTGTAATTTTGTACTGGAATTCCCCCAGCATAGCTTTCCTTTCTAAAAAACTGGTTTAAAAAACCCTAAATAATAAATTAAAAATTAAAATTAATTTAAAAACCCCACCATTTAGAAACTGAAAGCTCCGAAGTTGAAACAGAAGAATCCTTTCACTTACACATTCTAAACAGTCCTTCAAGAATTGCCACAGTTTCTTTCCTGAAACTGTTAACACACCTGTGATTTCTAGCTCTTACATACTTTTCAGCGTTGCATATTAGTGCATTATCAACAGCCAGCTGTACCTTCAGACCAATGAAGGGAAGACTATCTCATTGAAAACTACAGCAAGTTTTGGCTGGTAGCTCCCACATTTTCCTTGGATTCCACATTCAGTTATCGGAGTCATAGTGTTAATGATAATAAGCACCACATAGAGCAGGTGCTGGAAGCTAGACATTGTCTTTAAATCAGCAGCTTATCCCCCAGGATTTTGCACCTTTGACTCTAGAAGCCAACTTGGTTTTTGTTCTCTGTCAAATAAGCAAAAGGAATTTCTATATTTCAGCCTTACTACGAACCTATAAAACTGGAAGGTTCAGAGATATATTTACTGTTCTCTCCAAGGGAATGGTACCCCCACTAATAACTATAAGTTACCCTTATGCCCCTGTTATGTCCATCTGTCTCTTTGACGTAAAACTCTAACTGGAATGTATGTCCAGGTGTAGAACTAGGGTGTTATCTCAGAGTTGTTTCATTTTCAGGAAGTTGTGTATTATTAGCTGTTTCAGAACACTGTTCTCTCAGACATTATCTAGGCAGGACATAAATGAGAATTTTCAGATGGTTTGAGGGGTTTTTTTGTGAGATGAAGGACTAATCAGACTGCTAGCTACATGCATTGTTATTTTGCAGCTGTTTCAGATTATAGGTATGAGAGTAGTTCATTTCTAGATCTCAGGTTATGTACGCCTTCTCTAAATTAAAAACTGTTATCCATAGTTACAAAAAATTTATAAGTAAACCCCTCAAATGTAGTTGACTGAGGTCATAAAGTAAAAACAGAAGAGCCATGAGCTACATTCTTTCTTCCTCTGTCCTTCCAGAATTGAATGCTTTGTAAATAAAACTTGGAATAACTGGCTTTGTGTTTATAGATAAATATGACCTCTGGACCAGTATGATAATGTAGGACTCACATTGCTGCTAGCAATGAAGGCTTGGAAAAAAGTGTTCCTACATTGCTACTATTTGGAACCGTCATTTAGTTGTAGAACTACACATGTTTATAGATAAGTACATAGCTTCAGTTTTGTGAGTACAGTAAGAGAGACAGCTCATGTTTCTCTGTTGAAACCCAGTTATGCTTCTTAAAAGAAAAATCAGATTGATCAGCAATGTATTCCTTTACAGATGTTGAAAGTATGAGCCAAGACTTTCCACCACAAAAAATAGAAAGATCCACACTACTGCCTTCATATACAGTCAGTTCAGTCTTTCTCAGCATATAAAGAATTCCATAATTGTTAAATGCATTAGTCACATAAAATCCTTGGATTACTGATATGTAAACTACTTCACTCAGATCTTTTTCCTTCAATTATTAAAGAAACTTTCTCCTCTTTAAAAAGGGCTACCATAAGCTTACGGTTCTAGCTGAGCTCTGCTGTAGTAATCTGGCCTGCTTCATCTCCCAAACATTTCCTAATTCTGATGGCTCCATGTACCACAGTTGGTGCCCTTTCATTTACTTCGAAAAGGTTACTCTTGTGACAGAAAAGTTCAAATATGTCCCTGTTTTTGTTTGACACAAAAATACTGTAGTGATGTTATAGCTTGATACCAGTGGCAATGTGTTTGTATGAAAATTGAAGTAACTATGAATCAAAGTGAAGCACATTGTTCAAGTCATGTTTTTAATCAATACAAACCCTAAATGTATCGTGAGTTGTCAACACCAGAAAAACAGCATTCCGGACTGCCTAGTTTACAATACAGAGCATCCTACTCCTGCTACAGAACAATATAAAGCTAAATGTGCTCCATGGAAAAGGAATTATTTTGCTGTCAGACCACATCCAAACAGTAACTTTAAAATTAAAAGCAGTGACTTAATTCTAGCCAATCCGTGCTGTAAACTTCCTTCTTCTTAACACACCTTTCCAAATAGTGTCAATTTTCATTATTGTCATCCATTTTGCTTTTAGAAATTTGACTTTTAGAAATTTGCTTTTAGAAATCTGACTGTACATCGCATAACACTTATACCAGTAATTATACCCCACCACCACCACCAGCACCATGAAGTGCTGAGACTTGCAACTTCAGAAGATAAGCATTGCTAAGTCAGTAAAAGTCTACAGGGAACCAGTCTTTCACTGGGTGTGTGAGTTGATATGGCTTAATGCATTTTAAATACTACTAAAGAAAATTTTTCAATTAAAATCTTTTATACAGTTTGAAGACCGATATTCCTTGCTCAAGATATCTCTGCAATAGTAATACTTGTGTTTGAGTTGAACTCAACAGGAAGATAGAACTGTACCTTCCTTCCTCTCTAGTTTATCAGGGAAGGGAACTGCTGAGTTCAAGTAGTCAGTCTGGGTGCTTTAAGTGGTGCTGGTACATAGCATGGATGCAGCCAGGATGCCATAGAGAAGGTCTTGCAGTCCACATGGCCCCTCTATATAATATGCCTACGCTCACTACGAGTCACTAATAAATCCACTAGAGACTGGAAGTTTGCTATGTCTCCGGGTATGACCTTAATTTATTCCTTAAATCACCTGAAGTTGGTAGTGCTTAAGGAGAAATAGTGGCATTTTTTTCTTTGTCACAAAATGCAGAAATGGTATATAGAATGGGGATTCTGTATTATTTTCCTTTCTTTCACCTCCTGCTTGGTCATGTCACAAAGTCTTTAATAGATGGAACAACTAGAAGAAACTTATCTGTTACCTGTGTTAATTGTATCATTACCTCTGACAAGTTAACTTGTTTTTTCCACCAAGCTTCCCACCTAATTTTCATTAAATATTAAAAACATGACAATAGGAAAGAAGTTTTATAGGCTTATCACGCAGAAGGCAGGCAGACTTCTACAAAGATACTTTGAGGACTGAAAGCCAACAGTAAACACCTGTTTTGTCCCTTCTGTTAGAGGAGGGTGTAGTTACCTGCATGTTCAAATGACTTGAGAGGTGAAACTTGGACTAATATTGGTAGGACTGCTGGTTTTTTTCAGTTGCATGTGTTACTTTTCCTTTGTATAATTGTAGGCAGCTGGAGACGGAGGAGGGGTGTAGGGGAAGGAGGGAAGGTTTGTTCACTGACCCGCTAGTACACGCAAGACTTTTGACAGCAGTAACCTTGAGTGGGGCACAGATACCGTGTTTAGATTTCTATTCAATATTGTGCCAAAGTATGCACCAGCAAGTTTAATATCAGGTAAAGCACCTTTTATACTCTTTGTTGTTTAAGAATAATATATTTGTGAAACAGATCGATAATACATAACACTGGAAATGGGTGCTTCTTCCCAAAAGTACACATGTAAAAAAAAAAAGGAAACAACATTTGTGAGTTTATCTGGCTTTTAAGCAAGTCTGAAAATTATAGCTATGTAATACAGTTGCCAGTTGTCTGTCCTTTATAATTTTAAATAGATCTGCATTTTAACTTTATTTATTTGCCAATTTTTTATATACTTTAAAGTTACACTTTTGAACTCAACCTAACTTTTTATTTTCCTAGGCTGTTAAAAAACAGAATTTCAGTATTCTTGTAAACTGCAGACCATTTTTGAATAGTCCTTTGTCTTTTCCTATGGACCAGTTACCACTAATGAGTCTGCAGTCCCCTTTTTACTGTACTCTTCCAATAAATGTAAAATATTTGTATCAAGCTGTCTCGTTTTATTTGGTATTTACAGGTTGTGTTTGTTCACATGCTTCTGTAATCAAGTGAAAGATCAACTTAGTACATTGCTTTTGGGAATAGCTACAATTCAAAATATTTCACAATTAAAAAAACACAATTTATTTGATTTTTTTGGCGATTTCTGGAGTTGATCACGCTATCTGTATGATATTCACTCACAGTTTGGCTGTCACTTTCGTTTACCTTTTGTATATCAGCAGGCATTGAAACAAAGAGTAACCTTGTGGACAGAAGGGAAAGAACATACTGAAACAGGCTGAAAACCTTGGGGCTGGAGACCTGCAGGTCTGAGGATCCTACACCACCTATTTCTCTTTAAGCCAGAATTGTGTTAAGAAGCAAGACACTGGAAAGCAAACATGCATATTCTGCACCCCAAGAGCAAAGTAAAATCTACGGGCATTTTCAGTTAAGCAATGAAGCAATCTAGTGGCATAACCAAGCTTTATGCTGTTTCTTTTACATGATCTAGAGCTCTGTTCCCTTTATATTAAAAAAAACCCTCATACTACTCGCATTCTAAATACAAGTTGCATTTTAAAGCAGATTTTACTTTACTTTGAATGAAACCAATCTCCGCAATGATTGCCATTTTCACCACACTTTGCTGCAATTTCTTTGATTTCCATAATCCCTTCTTAATATATAGACTGTTATCAAAATTATGACTGAGGTAAAAAAATCAGAATTATTATGCCTGAAAAAATTCTAAGCGAATCCTCTGAGGTCTCATGGCTAATGTAAAATACAAATACCCCATTGAAAGAACTTCTTCCACTGCCTTATGCTTGCTGCAGATGAACTTTGTGATGGGTAGAAAGACAGGTTTCGTGTACCTGCACCCACAGACAGTGTTATTAAGCACACCGCATGCGAGCACAGCAGTGCCGTTTGCAAGACTTGGTGCCTGACTGAAGAAGGAGTTAGCAAGGAAGCAAATTTATGACACCGGTTGGTAAGTGGGACTGAGGTACTTTGGCCTTGGGACTTCTTTTTTTTTAAAATAAAATGCTATTATTCCCTTTTATAAACTCTTAGAGGTACTTTTCCCAACTATCTCCCAATAATCATGAATGAGAAAGATGTAAGTCCAAAGCTCATACCCTGAATGTATCAGTATGTGTTGAAACAGAAGACAACCCAGCATGGGATTGCACCTAGCTCTGGTACAGTTCTGCCGAGAGACTGATTTCTTAGCAGGGTAATTTTAGAAAAGGTTACTGCAACTAAATCTGTTCTGCTCAGTGATGCCTGGCCTCCAAATAGTAAAAACAAGTTGTTTGAAAACCTGCTACTGCCAAACACTGAGCACCACAGGGTCATCAAGGTTCCTCATCTGAAGTGTCACAGCAATTAATTAGGAATGAGGCTAAGGAAAGGACCCTTCAAGGTGATCAGGGTCTTTGTACAGTCCTCCATTTCTTACAGTTTAGAGGTAGATTTAAAGGACTTGGAGTTTAAAAGATTGAATTGATAAGACTTCTCAGAAGATTCCAAAGGATATTAGGTACCAAAGGACCACTTTAACTGGTAGATCACAGCATTTCCATATTCTTGAGATGCCAGATTTAACCACTCAGGCACATCTTCCCCTAACAAACCTAAAAGTCCACAGTAGCAGAACGGTCCCATGCAGGAAAACATATGCCCCAATTCTAACACAACCATAACACTTTATTTCATATTTCAGTTCAAGTTTTCCACTTGGGACTTTTCCTGCCCGGCTGACTTGTGAGTCCTAACCTTGGAGGTACTGTACAGCTGGCAGAACTCCACACAGAAGACATTTGGGCACAGAAGTGTTGATGCTGGGTAGTATGCTTGCATCCATCCGGTTTTTCTAGTCGCCCAACATTTGCATGTCAAAGCAGATCAGGTTTTTTTCTCTGCAACTGGCAGACATACCTCTCTCCCTGTTAGATCCAAACACTGTGTGTGCCTAGGTGTTTTGATACTTGGATACAAAACCTCCCTTGAACTTTGACACAAATACTGTTTTTGTTAAATGAGGGAGTGACATTAATCTTGCTCAGAGACACAGCAGAGTACTCCAAGCAGAAGTATGTGCCTGCCTTCAGCCTAATGTAAGGGATTTTGGGAGTTGGTGGAAGAGCACGAAGGGGAAGAGGGATTTTAGGGGGTTGATTTTTTTCCATTCCAGAGTGTTCTGGACTGGCCCACTGGGTCTGCTGACTTCCATGAATGTTGCTCCTGGGTTCCTAAGACCCCACCACTTCCACACCCTGGGCACTTAACTCGGGCCAAGGACCATAGAGCCACATATTCCCATATTTAAGATGTTTGGTGGACCTAGTGCCCCAGAATGAAATAAGTCTGGGGAAAACTGCAGTAAGTTGCACTTGCTCAGTATGGAGCCAGAGGACCATCACAGGTCACTGGGTATGAAGTTCCAGCAGTGCCAGAATTACAAGCGTCTGATATGAAAATGGTTTGAAGGACTGTGTGGTCTCCATCATGCATTCACTGAGGCTACTCTGCAGCTGGATTTCAGTCCTCCTTCAAGTCACGTTCTAGTCATAAGGAATGCAAAAATACAGTAACATCACTGATATGGCCTGAGTTGCAGCTGTACACTTCACCTCAAAGGACATGATACAGATAACTGGAGCAAGCACAAGTCCAATGACTTGTACAGACAGCACTAACCCTGTGACACACGGAGCTCTTCTTTAATGCCGTTTCATCAGTATTCATCTCCTCCATCCCCCTCAGTTGCTTGCAGGTCAGCCACACTAAGCACTGCTGCTAAACAGTCTGCAGAAATGCATCTCGACTAAGGAAATAGCTCTACATTGAGCATACAGAGTAATGAGAGATTGCGCTCTAATTTTCTAATAACTAAGCTCCCATAGCTTTTGATGACCTAGTATTCTGCAAATAGAAGTCGGGGAGAAGTAAAATCAAACTGCTAGCTGGCTTTGAATCCTCAAAAGAACAGATTGGCATTTGACCATGCTATCATGGAAAGAAGCGTGCATCTTTGACACACAATTTTGACACGAGATCTCTGACAGCTGAAGGAAAAATAAGATTGTATTAGCAGCGACTTGAGTACATTGAAATATTTTTCTGCTTCCCCTCTTAAAAGCTTGCATTGCTAAGTGTAGTTCACTAAAGACAAGGCGCAGAGAAGGGTAAGTAAGATAATCCAGTTGTTGAAATGTAGTCCGTGCAAGCAGCAGCTATAAAGCCCACTCTGTTAACACCAGGACATAGAAGTCACATCACTGTAAAGTTAGGCCAACACATTCTAAGCCCTTACATAAAAATTTAGACTCCTCAAGACCCTTTCTCTTCTAAGCTTACAGCCCTGTGGGTTCAAAAATACTTTCCGGTACTTTATAACCCTGAGTTTGAAATTTAAAAATTGCAGTTACCTAGATCTAGCTAGATTCAATTAGAGCACCTTCTAATATAATGGAGCTAGACAGGTAGTTTGCATTTCTCTTATAGTTATGGATCCAGAGGGTCAGGTCTGTAATGTCTGGGCCTGACTATGGGTCATTTTTGTGCTATGCAGCTGATTCATTGAGAAATACCTTGTCCTTCTGTCATTCCCCAGACTTCAGGTGGATCTGACCAGGGCAGGGTGGGACCTGGTGGGCTAGGGGTGGTCAAGTCCACCTGAAGGCTTGGGAAAGACAGAAAGTCAGTCTCTCAACCAGCTGCATAGCACAAAAATAAGGCTAATCACAGAAAACCAAGAGCAAAATAATCAACAAATGATAGGATTGAAGGTTTCTTACCCATATACAGCTTGGTTATAGCTACACCCAAAGACAAAATTGTGTGCTGGTTTTGTCTGCTTTGTAGTAGCGAGTATGAGGCTATGTTTTGGATTTTTGTTGGAAAGAATGTTGATAACACAGGGATGTTTTAGTTACTGCTAAGCAATTCTTACACAGAGCCAGGGCCTTTTCTGCTCCTCACACCACCCCACCACTGAGGTGGCTGGGGGTGCACAAGGAGTTGGGAGGGGACACAGCTGAGACAGCTGACCCCAGCTGACCAACAGGACACCCCATACCATATGATGTTGTTCTCAATAATATAAAGCTGGGGGAAGAAGAAGGAAAGGGGGAGATGTTCAGGGTGATGGCGTTTGGCTTCCCAAGTAACCACTGCGTGTGATGGAGTCCTGCTTTCCTGGAGATGGCTAAACACCTGACTGCCCATGGGAATGAATTCATTGTTTTGCTTTGTTTGTGCATGCAGCCTTTGCTTTACTTATTAAAATGTCTCTATCTCAGCCCACAAGTTTTCTCACTTTTACTCTTCCAATTCTCTCCCTCCTCCCACCAGGAGGAGGGAAGTGAGTGAGCAGTTGTGTGGGGCTTAGGTGCCAGCTGGGGTTAACCATGATAACTTGACGAGGGGACTGAAACCAAACTGCTTCCTAACTTAGAAGCCTCAGTGGCTGATTTTGCAATTGTATCAGAAGTAAGCTGTGTTTTATATAAAACCAAATTGGCAGATTTAGTTGTTGAATCTGACCTCATGCAGTCTACCATATGCAGATTTCCCACCAGTGAAGGTACATTAAGCCACCTAGGTTTTCATTTTCAGGCCCTCCCAGTGCTGCTGAGATGAGACACGTTTGTGTGTCTCACACCTTCAGGGCTAAACCCAGAGGTGTCCTCAGAGCACACCTCCTGAGTAAGCCTCCTCTGAAACACAGCTGGGGACACGACTTCTCTCTCTTCTGCTGCCACACGTGTGGCCCAGGTTGCCCACTAGCCAACTCCTGGCCTTGCCCTTATGAAATCTACCCTGATTTTGGGCTGAGGGCTGGGTCTCCCACACTGTGGGGCTGCCAGTATCTCTCCCCAACTGTGTACATTTGGGAACAAAGTCACCAAGACTCAAAAAAATCACAGCCTGATTCACACGGGAGTATTCACTGGGCTTAAAATCAAGCCAGGACTAAGCCCGGGATGAGAGAC